TTCCTTCCTTCCTTCCTTCCTTCCTTCCTTCCTTCCTTCCTTCCTTCCTTCAGACAAAATTCTCCTGTGTCCTGAAATATCCCCCTTGCAAAAGCAAATGTGGCTATTCCTGCATCAGTATTAGAGTAATTCAGCTGTCCTTCCTTCCCTTTCTTAGCTGGTATTCTACACAGAGCTGAGCATCTGCAGTCCTGTCCTTGAATAAACYTCTTAYTGAATAGAAATGGAAACAGAAATCACTTCTAGAAAACAGAGCTGCAGTGCAGCTTACTTGAATGCATGCAGCTAAAAATTTTTCAAGTCATTAAGCCATCACCTCTTGCTTTTGAAAAATGGCTGGTCCCTACCTTACATCACCTTAACTCTGAGCAATWATGTACTATCAAGGGATTTTGAAATGTCTAGTTACTCATTTTTATTACAACGATCTGTCTCCTTCTATACAGGAAGCTGTATATCATTTCAGAGACTGGGATAAGCCCTTCATTTGTGTTTGAGTAGACTTTTCTCACTCCTGGAGGCCAAGGGGTGAAACAAGATTTTACTATTTGGCCAATATTCCTTTGAAGAGAAGGGAGTTAAAGCACCAACTCTTCCGCTCCAAAATACATGAAAGACACAAGAATTTGGGGATCTAGACAAAAGAGCAGTCTGTGGAGAAGTTTGGGTCTGTGAGCCTCCAGAACTCTGCTGTATGCTCTGCTCTCCCCTGCCAAGTGCACACAGAAGAGAACGGGCAGAAGGTCCTGCTGAGGACAGAGAGAAATCCAGACAGCACTGCAGAGGCTCCAAGTTCCAAAGTGGAGCCATCAGACASAGGTAAGTTGGAAGGACACTCAGTCCCACAACGGCGATGATGAGGCAATAGCATTTTTCCCCAAGCTTGATAACAGCATGCATTAATGTGCTGGAATGCTCTGATGCAGCTCTGGGTAAGAACCAGTCCAATCTGACAGTCTTTGCAAGAACATTCAACTTCTCGTCCCATACAAACCAWCAGATGCCATTTAACCCAAAGTGCTTACCTTCTGCTTTCATGTAATGCACAGAGTATGCAATGACTTTGTCTGAGTTGTAGAGAGGCCTCTCCCAGGCCAGCAGGATTGCTGAGCTCGACATGGTCTCAGCGTGGACGTTGTAGGGTGCGCTGGGTCTGTCCTCCGACATSACCACCGTCAGTCTGGCCCGGGACAGGATGGAGCCCTGGCTGTTCTCAGCCATGCACTGGTAAATGGCATCGTCCTCAGGAATGATCTGGTTAATCACCAATTTACTGGATGCAAAAGRAAGAAAAAGGTGGAAAAGAAGCTCACATCTTGGACAAACTTCGCTCCACATAATGCAGCSACAGTTATGTTTGCCTCTGCTTCCTAAGTTTAGTGCAATTGATTTACGTGCCACAAATCAGAAATGGATGAACAGCAGGGAAATATAGAGCACCTTGAAGTGTTCTGCAACCCTGACATGCTTCTGTTTGTGCCTGCAAAGTGAGGCACTGTGAAAATAAAGCTGCACATCTATTCCTCCCAGCAAAAAAAAGAACCTTAGGCTTGGATTTCTTTAACCTTAACTTATTTGATATAAACCGCTCCCTCAACAGGAGTAGTAGCACGATTCTGCTACTCTGTAAACCCAAAGTAACTCTGTGGCTAAACTCCTCAGAGCAGTCCCGCCCACCCTCCCCACCAGGTAAGGCAATTATCCCATAATCTTTACTGATTTTAGGTATTGATTAATCTGTATCCATCACTACAATCAATGCCCAATTTCAGGTTTACTTGAGTTATATCTCAGCTGGTGATGTTTAGCTGCTGGGATGTCATCTTTTGGTAGCACATCACTAGCAGAGCTCTCCTACAGAAACTGCAMCCTTACCTGTTATACATTTTTATTCTACCATTGGAGTGTATTCTCCTTCCATTTTTCAACCATGAAATTTTGGGGGCAGGATTTCCTTCTGCTTGACAAGCAAAACGAGCAGTACCAGCTCTGGGCCTTGTTAAGCTTTCTGGCCATTCCACAAATGAAGGTGGAGCTACAGGTAAGTTATGAGAGAAAAAAAATATTAAAAATCAAGCCCTACAAATGCAAGGTCAGTAGTAGCAGTAATAGAAGTAATAATAATAATAATGATAATAATAATAGTAAAAAATTTCCAAATTAATACCTCTCTCCTCAAGCCATTCAAATATGCGTATATACATGCAGAAAGCACATTCCTTGCAAAAAAAGCACATTTGTTTAAAGATCCACTATCTGCACAGATAGAATTTTTGTTCATGCATTCATGAATACAAACAAGTCAAATTCCAGACTATGACATACTGTTCTCAAAGCATAGATACACATTACATATTTCTGCTTGGTTACAGGATCCCTTTCTGTGTTCAGTTCCCAGAGCAAACATTGCACCTGGGTATCTCCAAGTGCTAGTTCAAAACCCAAATCTCGACTATCTGACACTTCTCATCCAAGTCATCAGACAGAAGAAGGCAGCCACAGYTCTGTGAGCTGTTCAATCTGCAGGCTCATTGCAGTGCTGTTTGAGATGAAGGGCCAGCCCAGTACATCAGAGATCAGCCAGATCTGAGGAGTTGGGTTCAGTGGCAGCAGGCTTACCCAGCACAGTGAGAGTTGCCATCGCCACCGTGAAGTTGCGAGTGCCGGGAATCGTGGCCCGACACACGTAGACACCTGCGTGCTGCACCTTCACATCAGAGATCATGAGGTTCCCATTGCCCAGGATGTGGGTGTTGAAGACATCGATGGATTTATGGTCTGTTTGAGAGAGCAGCAGAAGTGGGTTACAAGGTTGTTCAATGCCTCTAAACAACTTGCCTAAATCAGGCTGTCTAGGCAGTAGTGGCATAGATTAGAGTATSAAAGTCAAAAGATGCAAAGGAAATCACAGCTGAGCTGTCAGAGGTTTCTATTTAGTATTTACTTTGCTTTTCACTAACTAYCTGACCATTCAGGTGGTTGGGCCTCACCACTTCTGGAGTAGTTTGTATCTGAAATCCACCATCTCAGCTAAAAGTTAACCTCCCYAGCTGCCTAGCACTATGATTCAGTTCATCACTGCCAACATCCACATCATCTTTACAAACAGTAATCATCCATCTCCTGAATTATGCTGCAGATAAATTAGTATATTTCATTAGCACATATTTTCTCCTATTTTCACAACAAATGCTCTATGACTGTTAGGTGAACATTTTTTTCGTTTGTCTTCAAGAGCCACTGAATCAACCATGAAGACATGCTTATTTCTTATACTTTTAGAAATGTGGGAAAATTATGCATGATTTGCTTCTGCATGTACAATCCTGACTTCCACATTTAAGTACATGTCAGAATGAAAACAGAGGTAGTTTTCATGAAAAAAATGTGATGCACTGCTCAGTGTTGTTATTCTTACTGCATTCCTCCTTCTCCCCTCCCAGGCTGATTATCTTGGGTTTGTCTATACCTATTCTTAGKCCAAACGGTCCATTAACACAAGGTGCAAATCCCATTCTCAAAGGGCTTCTAAGAAGAGTGGGAGAAGCACAGGCAGGGAGTCAAAAGCCTGAGAAAACCTCGGGACTTCTTGACAGCAGTACTGGAGCATGGAACTGAAAGCGTTTTGCTCATCCTACCTTAGGCTGCTAATCGTTACCTTCTGCACAAAGCCTCAGAACAGTCACCTAATTGCTCAAATCCTTTCTTTCCAGTTTTACTTCCTCTCCACGGGCTGAAGGTCGCATGCTGCAATTTTAAGACCTACCTAACCGGCTCCATGAGATGATTGGCTTTGGATTCCCTGTGGCTACACACTCCAGTATGACAGTTTGATGAAGAGATGCTGTAATGTTTTGAGGACCAGCTATTATAGATGGCTTGTGAAAAGGCTTCAAGTCTGAGGCTTTGCAGAGATAAAAAAAGAAAAGATAAAAAGTGAGCACAGYTGAACAAAAACTCAATTAAATATGAAACAAAATGTTTTTTAATGACACTGAAAGTTACATTTACACCAAAGCTTTATTTCAGTAACTGTGGAAACCTACATTGAACAATATTTTAGGCACAAGGTACAAGGAAGCAAAATTATTTGGACAAGTGGTTCAGGGACACCTACAGCTCTTCAAGGCAGCTAAGTGCTTTTTCTATAATGTAAAAAAGAATATGATGCCATTGAAAAAATTTCACGTGGTAAATACCTGGAATAACACTCAGCACTGCCTCGGTGCTTTTACGCCTATTGGCTGCTGTTGTGGCAACACATCGGTAATAACCAGCATCTTTCTGCTCAACTCCATAGATCTGGAGCACTCCTGTAGGCAGAACAGTTATCCTGCCACAGGAACAAAAAAAAAAAAAAGAAACGCAGATAAACATTCAGGCAGTGAACACGGAATTAACTACTTGATTTACAAACAGCCATTGCTACGCTGACCTGGGGACAGCAGGCTGGAGACTCAACAACATTCCCAATACATGACTCACCTTCCTGCCTTTCTGAACTACAGGCAAAATTCCCCGAGCACCACCATGAGAGCAGAGGAATTTACTTTTGACAAGCAGATCTTTCTCACCCTCAGAATCAACCATCCCAACCCTCTTTAGCCTTCTACAACATTCATACTATTCAGGTTGGCTGACTTTTTGCAGCAGTTTCTGAAATATGGTCATAACTGGTGTACACTTCACAGAAATCCACCTATGGTTCCAATTTTTAGTTTCTCTTTTTTCTTTCCTTTTCATGCTGGGTGTCTTAGACACTTTCAAATAGAGTTACAAGTCAAAAAGGATGGAAGAGTCAGTTCAATGAACACAAACTGGACATGGAAAGAATCTAGCAGGAAGCACTGTCTTCTTCAAGTTATTCAGTYCATGAGAAGTGCCCTTGCATAGAATTTTCCTGCTATCGAGTGTTCTAACTCTATTTTCTGTATATGTAATTCTTTATTGTCCCTCTAAAGAAAAACAGGTTCAGCATCAGTTCTTCAGTGAAAGCAATCCTGCTAGTTCAAGCTACCCCAGAGCCAAAGTTCACCCATTCCATTCCCCACTGAGATTCCCGTTCTTGAGAATGACTTGCATACAAAATTCACCAGTGAGAATTCAAAGATCGGTGATTACTGTGCAAATAATTGTGGGTGACTCTGGTCTGCACTCAAAACAGCTATTTAAAATTCATTAGCCACATAACTATGACTACTTATTCCAATAGTTGACATGAAACCTTTTTTATGTAATAACATTGCAAGTATTCAGATTTTCTTCTTGCAGCAGGATCAAAATGATGGCAAAAAAATAAAATACATTCTGAAATGAGTAACCATTAGACCCCTACATACCTGTCCTTGACTAAAGGTAAAGTTGTTCTGTTCACTTCCCATGTCACAGTGGCAGGGGGGTTTGCTGTTATTTTACAGGCAAATCGAGCCACTCCGCCTTCTTGGACTTCAGTYGAAAGTGGCTGGACTTCAAATGCAGAAATGGCTAAAAACAAGAGAACATCGATTTTAATGGACTAAACTGAGAAAAAGTTCCTGGTGAAATCAGACTCTGGTTCATAGATCAACTTGTAAAAATGCCCAGAAATACTTCAAATACTCCTTTTTATTTCTGTATGCAAAGAAAAATGGATCTAACTGCCTGGTCAGCTTAGCTCARGAGCATGTTTTCACTGGTTGAGGGTTTACTTAAAATAACTTTGCTTTAACCTAATTCAGTAAAAAAATGTTTCAACAAAAATAAATACGACACGCTCAAATAGAATTAAGCATACAAATTGACTGGCATTCAGCTGGATACCATATCAATTATTAGACTAACAAAGTTCAAGTCAATTCAACYAGTTTGGGACTAGCCTTAAAAAATTCGACTGCAACAGGAAATTTCCAAATCAATATTTGGTTCCTGACTCACTTTAGTAAAAGAAAGCGTTTGCAGCAGAGTTGTACGAGATCATGTGTGGTAAGAAAAAGAAATCAAAACCACAAAAAGATCTCAAAATAATTTAAGCATGCATGAACACTTTTATCCCAACAGTCTGAGCTGTCACCAAGCTGATGCCTGATACACAGAGCATCGATATCATTTTGAGCATCTACAACTTGAGGAGTTCACAATATTGCACCAACTGAAGTGGCAGATCAATAGATACTCTGCAGCTAATACACAGCCAAGAAACTGATCAGTGGTTCAATTTCCCTGTTCAAAAAATAAGGGAAAGTAATACAAAACGTGCTAATTAATTGTTTATTTACTGCTACTTAGAACACGGAGAAAGTGCGGCAGCTTTGCAACAGACCTCGCAAAGACTGTGGATAACCAGAACAGAACGACCCTGTACAGCAAAACCACCTGAAAGCAGCWGGAGCCACGTGATGCAAACACAGGGACCATTGCAAACTGGGTCTGGCACCTCAAATGTGCCTCAGACAGCCCAGACACCACAACCAGAGATGCCCCTGCTGCCCATTTTTACAGCCAAACCCATGCCTTTTGCAGACTCTTCAGTTTGTTCCCTCCCCACCCTCACAGCAGACAGAACCATCCCCTGTCACCAGCAGAACTTGGCTCCACTTTTTGCTCTTTGTTTCACTTYTGAGCAGTACCAGGTTCAAGAACAAACACATAAAAACCCCCACAACTTGCATAAAGGTGTTACAACAGAACTGTCACATTTAAAGCCTGTTGGGGGAGACTCAAAAAACAGTTCTTGCCTTAAACAGATTTTCTTTTGATTGCAAAGGAATCATCAGAAGTAAAACAGAGACTTAGAAGTTTTTAGGCTACTAGAAAAGTTCAGCTTCACAACACAGCCCAAGCACAAGGCAAATAACCTGCACATACAGCAGGTTGTTCCCATAACTCTCAACTTTCTGGATTTGATGCTGTCTTCCACCACAAAAGGGAGGTTGGGGGGAAGAAGAAGAAATAGGAATCAAAGGAATCCAAGGTTGTCTTACTTCCTTTCCCTCTTTCTTCATTCTAATTTCTCCCTGTGCAGAAAATGTGTGTTCACCTAGAGTCAGAATACTTCCCGAGTGCTGTTCTTAACAGATTTTCTAATAGAAAATACATTACTTTGCATTCTTCATTTATTTACTGAAAGTACTGCAGCAAACCAGACAAGTCTGCTCATATTTCAAAATAAAAATCTGTAGCAATGTAATAAAGGCATAAATAATAAGAACAACCCAAACCAACACAATGTGAGTATCAGAGCCATCCTGCAGCACAGCTGYACCACAGCCAGTGGCATAAAAAAGGATCATTGCAACAAGGCAGAAAGGTAATCGTGCAGTCCTATTGAAATAAAGCTCTTTCACAGCTTTAAATTTTCATCTCTATTGGAACCATAAAGTTGCACCCAGAATTTTCTTAGATTGGTACAATTACTTAAAGGGACACCATGAGACAACAGAAACATAGCATTAGATATATAAAAATAATTATTTATTTCCAAGCACTCAGTACATCGCAGCTGAAAATTAAAGACAGGCGAGACTCTCAAGAACTACAAAGCAAACTGAGGGCAATTACTGTTTCACAGAACACAAAATACCATCACAATGGCAAGCGAGGATAGGTTGAGCTACACTATACAGGAAGTCCAGTGCAAGTTGCTAATTGAAGCTGATATGTAAAGAACATTTTCCCACCTGAGCAGGAACAATATATTTTCACTGAAAGCTCATCTTTAAAGACAACAGAAGTCACAACTATGAAGAACTGCATAAAATCTTCAGAAAAACTTATTAATGTCACTAAATGCAGTTTTAGAAACAAAWAATCCCCGCTTACCTCTCATCTAAATTTACACATTTATCAGTTTAGCTCAATACTTGCTCCTTCCGTATCTTTCTTTACGCACATGTCTGGTTTCTCCTTAATTCTGACTTTATTTGTTCCAGTAAAATCTGTTTTTACAAGTCTATTGCTGTCTCATGAAACCTGACCTCTTTGTAACAGGCTTGTTTTCCTGGCAAGCATTGATTCCAGCTCAGAACCCCAAGAACAAGTCATTAAAGCAGTGCTGTTAAGAGGCCAGAGCTCTATAAAATGGATAAGAAACAAACTCTCAAGAGACATACCCTGCTCCCAAAAACAACCCTGCAATGCAATAAATGTAAGTGCCTTTTTATTTGAGTTTCCCCCATCTTCTCCAGTCTATTTAATCATTTTGTTCCCAGATTTAYAGCCAAAAGAAAATGATTAATGCTACTCTGAGAAGCTGATGCTCCCACCCTTTTTAACTTGCAAGATAACAAATGGTGCCTACAGAAGCAGAAGACAATAACTAGAAACTGTATTTATTTGTATAAATTCCTGAAATTTATGTGATAGGAACGTGCGTTTGTACAGTTATTTCTGAGCATGAAGATCTTTACTGGACAGAACTGTGTGATTTATGCCATTAATATTATCAATGCAGAGAGAAATCAGGTTTCAGTTCTGGTACGAGTTCCTTCATTTGCAATTAAGACAAACATCCACAGGTTTAAAAACCAAATGACACACTGCTGTGACACACTGAGGAAGTATTGGAGAACCACTGATGGGCATGGACTGAATATTATTCTGCATGCATGTAAAAACTTCTTGTGTACCTAAGCAGGTTTACACAGATTTAATTACTAAGGTACAAAAAAAAATCAAGAAGCTTATCCCTCACACATTTTGTTTGTTTGTTTAAATGCAGTGGCAGTCCTTCACTGACTCTAATTATGACCCAAAAAAACCTGAACAAAAAAGCAAAAAATAAGCAYAACACACACCCACTTCATTCACTTTTGAAAGAAGTCCTGAAGCTTGCTGCAACACAAACCCAGCGAGCTGTTCCCTCACATGCTGCACTTTCTACTTACASACTTCATGCCATGATGTGATGTTCTGAATGAGCTTCCTCAAGAGGCAAAAGAAATTCCACCAACCTACATGCTGATTACTGTTTTATCACAGCTGACTCCAGCCCAAAACTAGACTATAACTGTAAAATAAAAAAACTGAAAGAATGAAAGAGAAACCCAGAACTGAAACAGTAGCACAGATTTCAATTAATCGGAATGCACCAAATATTGAGAAACTCTGCAGAACATGACAGTGATGCTTAAGTGTTTCTCAAGAGATAATTGCCACTCAGAGAGATGAACTGCTCAGGTGGAAAGAACAAAAGTGCATAATGCCATTTGTAATGCTTCTGAGAAACTCACAATAGCCCTAACCCTTCAAGTGAAACCAAGAATCTTTCAATTCTTTTAAACTCTCCGGTGAAGAGGTTTCATTTGAGAAAAAGAAACTTACATGTTAAAGAGAAGTTTTTTCCACAGAAATGGATTTCAKGGCAGCACATGACAACTCTTCTCTTCTTGATCTAATTTTTGTGATGCACTCTCTCTGAAAGAGTGTTGAAAAATCCAACAAATATACATGCACATTACATTATAACACCAAAGCTGATTTGCATGTATTTTCTTGGCACTTATGCAGTTTCTCATTTCTTGCAGGAACAAGACTTGGAAGAGATTATGAAAGTTCTGCCACGCCCTTTGGCTATATAGCCATATATTTCCAATGATTTGATATTCAAATGGCATGCTTTGGTCTGGATCTGGATTTGGAATAACCCTTATATGAGTGTATACTCACAGACCCAAACACTTGGCAAGAGTACAGACACACAGCTCTTCTCATTTCTCAGCAAGCATTTGGAGTACACATGGCTGGATGTGTAATATAATGGGTGAATCTTTCCTGAGTTTCCCAAGGGACACTAGTAAAAATGAAGTATTTTGGAGCCCAAGTTCTGCTTTTTACATACAGTTTAGAAGTGAATGTCACACAAATACAGCAATATCCCATCCTGCATGTGCTACCACAAGCACAATGATTTCTTACACTCACTCTTAAAACTTTAACAAAGTGTTGTTTGACTAAAATTGGTTTTGTTGTTTTGTTTTTTTTTTTTTAATTGCGAGGCATAAAAATGAAGAAATCAGGAGAAAAAGAACCTGACCTGTAAGGAAAGATTAAAAGTGCTGGGATCTGATTAGCTCTGGGAAAGAAAACTCAAGAGAGAAGTGACAGTCTCACTGAAGAATGAGAGTCACTGCTCCCTGTTCCCTCCAATACTTACATTTGTAAGAACAGGAAAAGCAAGAAGAAGAATGGTGGAAAAAGAAGCTTAACTGAAATACACTTTTTCTATAATCTTGCATTTTAAAGAGATATTCTGAAATTGCCTGATACCATTGGCTAAAAGTTTAGTTTGATATACTTAGTTTTGATTAATAACCAAACCAGGCTGAAAGCCAGAYACTCAAACTCAAATGGAACAAAATTAGTTGCTTTTTTCCCCAAAAAATTTAGATGCATCACTAAATAAATAAAAAATCAGATAAATCATACAGGCTCCTAATATCACTGTTCACATGTTAAGAAGCCAATGAAAATTCTGGAGAATGCTATATCAGGTGCTTAACTTCTCACAC